GGGTTCCGGGTTGCATATGGGCTTTGTTCAGGGTTTAGGGTTTAGGGTTTAGGGTTCAGAACTCGGGCTTGTTTGAGGGGTGGTTTTAGATTTGTTCGTCCCCCGGGCGTGCAAGTTGGCCACAGTCGGGGTTAAAGGCTTGTTCAAAGTTCTGTTTTGGAGATTAGTATCTCGGACCTCAAACTATATACTTGGGTTTACATCCAGCATTCCAGGTTGAGGTTTCAGCACAGCGGATCTGCGTTTCTTGACGCGGTAGTTGGGATGTCGGAACCACCGATATCCTAGGAGCAGGGATTCTAGGAGGAGCAATTGGGTTTGGGGTTTTGGGGTTTAGGGCTAGTCATTCAGAATTCCCGGCCTGTACGACGCCGACCCGAGGATGTTGGATCTTGGAAGGAGGATTTTTCGGTTGCACGCACATGGGCACCAATCCAAAACCCGAAACCCTGATCCTCAGAAACCCTAAATGCTAAACTCTACCTATAGCCGAAGCTGTCGCGAAGTCCATGTTCAGGGTCTTCGCCCTTCAGGCTCCCAGTATGATGGCGACTTCCTCCAGGGAAGCAAGCATGGCACGCGCCCCGGGGGTTTCGGAACAGGGTGTCAGGATTAGTTTCATCAACCGGGAATGCCAGCCACACGTAGCTGACCCCACCCTGTAATAGTGACTATAAGGATTATATTAGGGCCCTATTATATTCCTTTTTATACCACTATTACAGGGAGAGGGCCCCTTCTAATGTATCACCTTCAATTGTGTAGTGCAGACTTCGGTCCCTGATCTTGTCCGGCTTCGTGGTGTCGTGTAGCTAACCTGTTGCAAGTTGGGGTAGTCGCAATCCCATGTGCTGCCTAAAGTTTCCTAGCCTGTCAGAACCTACCTTTCTAACGTTCCTATGACCTTTGAATTGAATTTCACATGTCAGGTTTAAAACAAGAGCCCGGCGAAATTGTAGGTTTTGGTAGGTTAATGTTAAGCTTGTCGGAGTGGGTTTCGTGTCAGGCATCTCCGGGGTTTCGTTGGTTGTTCTTGCAGGATATTCGGAGGTGCCTGCCTGCAGAAAAACGTGTCAGCAAAAAAGCGGAACAGTCTAAGAGGTTTGAGCCAGCGCCAAGGCAACCGCTGTTGCTCCGCACCGTATTTGTGCGGGCATGTCGATGGAAATCCCCGATGCCGTTTGGGATAAGATGTTGGGAAAGCGAGTGCTTCTGTGTAGTTTGAATGGTTATATAAGCACGGGATTTTGGCTCCCAGTATGGCTACGCAGAAGTTGGTAACAATGTGAACAGTGCTGAGGGCCTGATACCATTCGTGAATCTCTTATTTCCGATGTCATAGCCCTGTGAACTCAACTTTACCTTTCTTATTCCCGCTGTTCACCAAAGAGACATACACACACGCACGCAAGCTAGTGTAGCTCCCTTCATATGTACCGCCATGCCCAGAGGCGCAGTCACATAACCGAAGGATGTAACACTTAGTCAGGTTACAGCATTTTGATAATTAGTTCTACAACCAAAAGCCTCTTACGGAATTAACCAAAGATGCATCCAGATCGAGCACATGTACAATGAAATGCAGAGTACGGAGTAACCCGGATGTCGACTAATGTACTCTAAGCTTTCAAGACATATATGTTCATACATACATACATACATACATACATGCATACATACATACTTACAGGTATACATACATACATACATGCATGCATACATATACGTGTGTGTATATATATACATATAAACATACATGCATACATACATACATATATATACCCTATAAGTCCAAACCACGTAGGAAACGGGTGCGTTGTACCAAAGCACCGTCTTTACTGAAACCACGTGCTTTACTAAGTCGGTTCTTGCACATTAATTCCCGATAGGTTCAAGAGCAATCTACTTCAATAGCACCAACCTTGCAACAGAAAGCGGCAGCAGCAGAGCAACAGCTGGCCGACCTGATGTCCACCGGCGAGTGCGCCCCCAGATTTTTCAGCGATTTCTTCGTCTCGCATTGCGGTTCAAGTGACACATTCTACGTCTCATCGAAAGTAGACGATATCTGCTGTACTTGATCACTGCATGCTCCAGCTTCTTTTTGTCGCTCCGATGAGCGACCCCTCAGCTACAGCACGGAATCACTTACACGATAAGTTTGAACCCAAAACGGGAAACTTGGAGCCAAGAGACCCTTAAGCCACCTCATGGCATCTTCTTCCCGGAACGTGTGGAAGTGCCTCGTATTCAGTCCTGATCTCGATTGAAATTGCTGGTGATGCTCTGCTGTAACAAACTTGGCAATGCAGGGCTCATGATACAGCCGAGATTCGTCGGCATCGAACGTCTTTCAACTGATGGTGAAATGCCTGGGTTTCCAAACAGCTCCAGAGTTTGTGAACGAAGGATGGACGATCTGTTGTAGCTAGACAAGTAGCATGCATTTTCGGACGGATATGCCAATGAAGCTTCATCATCCTGCAACAGCTGAAGAACAAGTAAACAGCTACAGCCGGGCTTAGCTTAGCCTCATAGAGATCTTGCACAGCACGAGGTGATGCCGGAGGTAGTTCATACCGTGGTCGTAGATTGTATCGGCCGCTGTCACAGTCCTGAGATTCTTGCGGTCAACCAAAGCAGATTATGCAGAAGGCCTTTTAAATCAGATTTGGCGGGCTAGCCGCAGGTACCGACCATGCTTCTCCACTTCGTGGAACCATGCACACAGTGATCGCCTCGGAGATGCGGGGATGACGAAGGGCATTGGCGGTTTTCTTGGAGGGTAAGACAGTTTCAGGTAGCTGTCGTGATGCAGGCAAGCAACATTGCCACTGCAATGAGTTCTAGTCGCTCGTCAGTCGACCAGGTTTGGCTTTCAAGTAGCCACTTGCAGATTTCCCGATGGGGCTCCGTAGATCGTGCCACAGCCTTTTGCATACAATCGCCAAGCCAGTAAGCAATGATCTTGCCGTTGTGCCCTTTGTGGCCCATATGAGCCCCATGTGTCTCAGGCTTCCAAACCTTTGCTAAACAGAGCACGAGCTTACATACCCGCCCCACCGATTTTCTAAAACAGAAAACACCTGCTAGATTCAGCCCGGCTTCAAACCTTGGCACAAACTTAGTTTGTGAGCATTTCTGACCGGTGTGGCGTTGGAATGCTTTGAAGTCCCGGAAAGCGATGACCAGTAGTTTCTCGAATGAGAGGCTTTGGGGACATCCGAAATATCCGTTCTCGATCAGGAACATCCTTACTATTCAGAAACAGAAGTCTGATAGCATAAGTTCTATGCACAGTCTACGAGCATCACATGTAGGCAAGGCTCAGCGTGGAACCATTGGCATCTTGAGCGATGCCCAAATTCATGTTGTGTAGTGAGCAATGGCAAATCATGTCAACATGAAAGGTGTGCAAGCCCAAAAGTGGACCTCAGAATACAGGGCCTTTGGTTTTTGAGGGGTTAACACGAACCCACAACCTGTTGCCAATGACAGCAAAGTTTCAAATATTATCCCTCTTCACGATGTTGGCAAGAAAATAGAAACTGGAAATAGGGGTTGCTTCCCAGGCTGGGTGATCGTCGAAATCATAGCAGCTGTGGGCGGCATTGTCATGGTGCTCAGCATGGCATCTCCAGCATACCCAGCGGGTTTTCCAATATCGTCTAAGTTGAAACGTGTGATAATGAAATTCCCAGTCCCCCTTTATTTCGGTAACCGAAAACTTGTGTGGTAGAGGCCATCCTTCTGGGGTTCGTCCATGAAAAGCTTCATTCAGGGATTCCACAATGGCGAGATATAGAGGATTGAGAGTCTCTGGGCCCAATGAACGGTCGGCATCCACACTGAAAAGAAGCCATTGTGACATTCTCGTTGACTTGGGTCGCCATAGCGGCAAGCTCATGAAGCATCCAGTAATCTTAGATTGATCATACCCCTGCCCATACCGGGCAGTGTCGCCGTAGATAGTGACAGGCACATGCTTGCCATCGAGGTCGTTGTGCGAGGCCCACGTACAAAATGATTTCTGATGCTGCCAATACTGGTCGATGTCTTCCGGTCGTATCAGTAGACCCAGCACATTAAACAGGTACAGAAACACACGATGGGGTAGAAGCACCGGAATCTTTTCCTCAACCACCATCGTAGAGTCTACTTTGGCTTTGACACGTGTTGAGACCATGACCGGCTCCTAGCAGGGTGTCATCACTTTGTGGTCGAAGATTAGGCTAGTATACCACCCCAATAAAGCATCCACCCAATAGATTACCCTAAACTCGAAACCTTTAAACTTTGGAGGCCCCACCGCTGGCAGCTGCATAGATCTCTCAAAGTCTCGTGCATTGTTGGCGCCGCTGTAGGAGCCCAGCTTCACTAGTGGTGCGGGTAGACTTCCCCCGGCATCCTCATCGAATCGAGTCGACCAATCAATCAACATGCACCCAAAAGACGAGCTGCTTTCACTGACGACTTCGCCGTTCTCATTTCTTTGCCGATCGAGGTGTCCTGGGATGCAAGTACCAGATTGGATCAGTGTGGGCCCCGTATCTGTGGCAGTGCACTAACTGAGATTGAGCCAAGCCACAGCCGAAGCGATGTTGTCAATCATGTCAGCAACAACTTCGGAGTGCTGTCCATCCCTGAAGCTAGCACCTGCGAGGCTCGAAAGGCTTAAAGGTTTGCTCTTCATGAGATAAAAGCCCGTGACTCGCTGGAAAGCACAAGCAACTGATCTCGGGAAGATCTGTCACTCTTGTTTGTCGCCAGTCGCAGCCCACCAACTCATGTCGCACGATTGCTTGAAGCCCCTGCTCGCACGTAGATGCTACTTGGTAGGATGACTGATTGCACCTCGAACAGACTGCCCGAGGGGCGGCGTGACCCCCACACCTAAGAGTGCATCAAATGGCCTTCCCGAAACAAGAAGTAGTGTGTAAGTGAAACATCATGTGTTCATATCCACACTCCAGGCCGTTGTGTGATGCTCCTCTTAGGATCTAGTCCCCACCCTTCTTCTCAGTCTTCTTCTTAATCCCAACCGTGAGCGATCCCTCGGCGTGGTCCAGAACATCCTTGGCAGCCGTCGTCTTGTCGGTGATCTTGCTGTCCTGACAACAAGCCGAATAAAATCGGAACTCATTCAAGGATACTAATGTGCATGTGGTGTCCTGAGCCGAGTCCAGTGCCGTCTGCAGCTGGCTACGGGCCGAGGTGAGCTTCTTCACCACTGCCTGGAGATCCTTCTTCAAGGCGTCCCGGACAACCTCATTCCTTGGCAAAGGTGTGTAGTATAATGCGAATAAGGCAAGTTCGGTATTCGGTTCTGGGCCCCGGACAAAGCACCGACCTCTTTTGAGTCGATCTTCGTGGTCGCATCCTTGATCTTCCGGTTGAGGGTGCTGATAACCTGGCGATGCAATTGAAAAGTCGTCTCGCGAACAGACCAGAAAGGACTACCGGAGTGAAGACTGCCTTCTTTCCCTCCTGCTGCACCTTCCGGCTTTGCTCCTTGTCCAAATCCTCTTGGGTTTCGGCCCTCCTTAAATTCTTTCCGTTGCCTCCCCTCTTCCTCTTGTTCTTCTTGCTCTTGCTTTTCTTATCTTTCTTCTCCTTCTTATCTTTCTTAGCCTTCTTGTCCTTGGACCTGTTCTTCTTCTTCTTGGCAGCACCGCTGCTGCTGGACTCCTCGCCACTGTCCTGCATCCAAGAACGTACAAATGAGGGAAGGTTTGGTGTTCAAGGGCCACACGTACAGAGACCGGTCCTTCGTATCCTCGTCACTCGACTCGCTTTCGAGATTCTGCTCCGTTTTGAACAGCTGTTCGATTTCATCTTCGCTTTCGTCCACCTCCTCGTCCTCGACGAGGACGAGGTATTGTTTCAGTCCTGCTGTGTTTCTGGTGGCTCCATTGCTTAAGTTGTTTCAGCAAAGTGGAACAAAGTCAAGATTATCCTGCCTGGCAAGTCAGGGTGATCTCTGATCTCTTCCTGGGCCAGATCCTTGTCCGCCTCTTTTCGCAACACAATAGCCTCCACCACGGATTCATCGCCAAAGTGTGACAGAAGCTGGCTCTTCGTCATCCATCTGCGTGCAGCCCGCTTGCCGTTTTTGTGTTTGTGGCGGATTGTTTTCATCACCACACTATTCACCCATTTGCCACCACACTGGACAAAGTCCTCGTACAGTGCAGACATGTGCGTTTTACCTCGGAAGACGAGACAAGGTAGTGACTAGGCCGGAATTGGTATGCAATTGAGGCAAAGGCAATACTTGAAGCGGTCGAAGGCATTCTTGATTTCCATTGGGGTTTCCCGACCTAACACAACTCACAGGAATACCATATTGGAACCGTGCGGGGAAAGAAGGAAGCATTGAGCACTCGATCCAGGCCCAAGGCATTCATGCACTGATCGCCAGAACCTCATGTAGAGCTTGTGGGCCTTCTTCTTCTTCTCTGCAACCTCGAGGTTTTGCTTGGGCTCTTTGCTCTCACCCTGCTCGATCTTTTGGCTCTTCTTGGGGCTCTTCTCGGGGGTCTCCTCACGGGTCCTCGTGCTCTTCTTCTTGGGGCTTTCGGCAGGCGGGGCCGGCTTCTTGGAGCCTTTGTTGGCACTCTGGGCACGGGGTTTCTTCTTGGGGCTCTCGGCGGGGATGTTCTCAGTGCTTTCCTTGGGGGCGCTTTGGCAACCTTTGCTGCTGCTTGGTGGGGTCGAAGGGGGGCTAGCCTTTGCTTTGGCCTTCTTCCTACCTCCTTTCGTGGCGATGCGTGCACCGCCCGACAGCTTGGAAGCTGCAGTGGCCGGAGGGTCCTTCGAGCTTTGTGCAGTTGCATGATCCTTCATTTCGTAGGCGGCTTGCTTGGCTTCTTCTGCTGCTTGCTTCTTCTCATCCGGGGTTGGTGGCTTCTTCTCGGCTGCTGGCTTTGGTTTGCCCATATCGATTAGCTTCTTTCTCTTGCTATCGGAGGATGGCGAGCTGGTGGTGCTTGCCGGCTTGGCTGTCGTTGTGGGCTGCTGGCTTGCCTCCTTCAAAGCAGCACTCAAAGACCTCTTCGGACCAGTCGTTTTGTCTGCACTCGAAAGCTGGCCGTCGCACGATTTCGCACGAACCCGGTGCTGCGGAGTTTCCACCACCATGGTCTCCTGGGTATCCGTTCTCAAAGGCTTAGCTTTGCTTTGCTGGTAAGCCTTCTTTCCGGTAGACCCAGTCGAAACCTCGACCTTCGGCCACGGGTTTTGGGCATCCTCAACCTGACTGTCGTAGGACCTGCGAGCGACTTCAACTACACAGTTCGTAGTGACAAGCAACATACAGGAGTCATAGAGGGCAAGCCGAGGCATAGGCCATGACTGTGTAGATGGGGATTTCGAGATGCTCGGCTTCGATGTTGGGGTCGCGGGAGCACTCGGGGCCCGGACTGCCCTAGCCCGGGCTCTAGCAAGCACATCGTCCACTGTCACCATTTTACGAAGCAGCAACCTACCCCAGGTCAATGCTAGGATCGCAACACAAAAGCCTGAAAGCGGCTGAACACAGAACATACCATGCGGCGGCGAATCTCCGAGAGAGTCAGTGAGTGCTGTTGCAGACACGACGGTTTCATGCAGTTCCGGAAGTGTTTTTCAGGGCACCTAAGTCTCACGGGGTTTGGGGTGGGTTTCACGGGGTTTGGGGTGGGTTTCACGCTGGTTTCACGCTGTTCTCACGCTGTTCTCACGGTGACGTGTTTTGCTGTTGTTTGTTGGGAACTTGAAAGTTTTACTCCGAAACATAATGGAACTTGGCACAGGTCCTTGGGTTCTTCCTGCCGTGCGAGAGAAGCTTGCAGATTTGCGGGACTCTTGGCACTCATGCATGCAGTTTCCCAACATTTACATAGGTAACTCTCGGCCTATGCATGCGTGCTCCAACTGTCTGTCTAGTACCAGCAACATACTTTGCTAGGGGTGGCCTGTGCGGGCACTGCACAAAACACAAAGGTTGAAGCTGGGGCTTACGAGGATTAGGGCTTGTGGTTTGGGGTTGGAAGATTACAAGGACCAGGAAGTATTCTTGGGAATCACCAAATTCAGGTTAGGGTTTATCAGGATCAACATAGGGTTTGGGATTGAGAGACTTAGGGGATTAGAGGGGCCGGGGTTTGGGATTAATGGCACATCTGCAGAGTCAAATGAAGGCAGCCTCGAACCTTCAAGAAAGGAACCTCTAAAGCCCAACCCGTCCTTCTCCAACTCGCAGATCCCTTCTTAGATTGGGTGAGAACGAACATCCCGAAGTTAGTGGAAGCCCCAAAAGCCTCAAAGTATTAATTTCATAGAAGCGAGTGAACGTCTGTGTTTTTCGGTCAGCAAAGCGAGATCGACTCCTCAAGCCAGCGAAGATGCCTCGGATTTGTGTGGGACTTAAAGCTGGGCCTAAGGAATTGAGTGCTCCTACGGATTTGCGTGGCCAGGTTGGTCATATCTAAGGTTTGGGAGATAGAACTCTTGATTGATCAGAGTCCAGGATGGGCATGGTCTAGGGTTTATTTGGGGTACGAAGGGTGCCGATGATTCCCTCGATTGTGATGTAGGAATGTAGTAATGTAGGGCGAATCTAGGATAAGGCTCGGGCCCTGGATTCCACAATCTACTTTAGTGCAAACCTACCTTCCAAAGCCCCAACACTAGGTTCCTGTTTTCGGAGTATTGACACCTCATCCCTCGGCCTAAACCCACCTTTCCGAAAGACTTTAATAACCCTGCAGAAACCTCGAGACCTCAGCAATAAAGGAAGCAAAACAACTTTGTACCTGGCTCAGGTCGGATCAAAACTGTTTCGGGAACGAGGTGCGGCTTGACTACAGTCTAAAGGAATTCCGGACTTGGGGTTTTGGGGCCATTCTAGGGTTGGGTGCTTTCAGGTTTCCTCAAGGACTTGGGGTTCGAGCTTGGAAGGTAATCGGTTTTGACTTGTCTAGATACGATAAACAGCAGTTCACTACTTACATTGGACGTGGGGCTTGGGCGGGCCAGCTCAGTCTTGCTAGTGTGGCAAGAACGAGAAGGGCATCGGATGTTATTGGTTCGGGCTGTGGCACAACTGTGAAGGACCCGGAGTTCTGTTGCCGAGTAAGTGGTGGTGTAAGGGGCTCGAAGGCAGATCTTGATTTCTGGGATTTAACTCGGCTTTCTCATTCTAGGTTTCAAACCCAATGATCAGGATCACCCCAAACCTGAAATTGAAATACTTGTGAGTTGATTACGTGATACCCCAGCAGGCACCTTAGCCTCTCCAGATCCCATATATTTGTGTTTTACAACAGGACTTTGCCTCAACAGGGTGTTTGGGACCAAGGTTCGGAAATACCCAGGGACTAGGGTTGCTGGCTTGCGGTTCCGGGCTTGTGTATTATTGGCTTATTGTACTTACACCAGCCGGGGCTTTAAGGTATAATGGCCGTGTGGCTGCTCTGAAGCCTCATGCTGGAAGACAAGGCTGACCTCGGAGATTCTGCAGTCGGGACTCAAAACTTTGGGATTGGCAATCATACATTATATGGGGTTTGAGAGCCCAGAATCTATCAACCCCAAACCCGAAAAGCTGAACCTCCTATCCTCTACCCCCCCTACAAGGCCCTAAAAGTCCTTCCAATAGAAGACTCCGAGAAAACACCAAAGACCGTTCAAAGCATAAAGCTGACACCGGTCATGCGGAAATATTCGAGACTTAGTCGTGGCCAGCAGTGAATACAGTACCAGGCTTTGCAAAGCTAAGCTAGCCACGATCTGCGGAGACGTGCTGGGTCCCCTGGTCACCATTCGGCGGCTCGAACAGCAAAATTCCACCTGAAAGCCAGGATGAGGAGTTTAGACACAAGGAAGCTAAAGCAAGCCGTCGGTTGGGCTCCAGGCGCTTCCTTCAGTGTGGAGAATTTCGACCAGCCCACTGTGAGGCCATTCTTCTTGTTGATCTCAGTTTGTTGAGGGCTACAATTAGGGAGATATTTGGTGTAGTCGCTTTTAATGCTGTGCACACATGCAGTCTGGGTCAGTGGCCTTGAATTCAAAATCGCAAAAGGCCTCCTTGTTCAGCTTGTCTAGGACATGTTGGCGTAGTGGACCACTAACATAAAAGCTGCCATTCTTGAATTGGAACCTCATTGACATTCGATGCAACTACAGCATCAAAGGAACCTTCCTGTGCAGATGTGCAGACTTGTTGGGATGCCGGCACGACTGCGATTTTGCAGTCAGAAGCATCATTCTCGAGTGTCCAAGACCTGATAAAAGAAGCTTCAAATCGTGAACCCCAATCAATTTGGCGTGTAGATTTGAGGATCCGACCTAATCCCCTGGCGAACACGATCATTAATCAAGAAACGGGGGTCCGAGGTGGCGATGACCTCCATCTCGGTCAGCCGCTGCTGCATCTGCCATGTGCAGGACTGATTGAAAGGGCGAAGCATCGCATTGACTCATGCACAGACATATTGATTGGAGGGAGCTCGGGGAGAGGGCGAGGGAGAGATAAAGATTGCTACAAGTAAGGGAGCCCTGTGTTGAGTATATTCAGAACTGTTACCTGCCTCCGGAGACAGCTTTGCCGTTGGCTTGCTATCCTTCTTTGGCGGGCCCTTTGGCTTGACACCCTTTGGCGGGTCATGTTCCTGCTCTTTTTCCTGCTGGCCTTCATCATCGTTTTCCTGCTCTTCTTGCTGGCCTTCATCATCGTTTTCCTGCTCCTCTTCCTGATGGCCTTCATCCTCGTGCTCCGGCTCCTCTTCCTGCTTTGTTGTGTCATGTTCTTCATCAGCCTTTTCTTGAAGCTGTTCGTCTTCCTCGCCCTGTTCCTTCATTTCTTCATCCTCATCTTCCTCCTCCTGCCCCTTATCCTCTTTACCGGCCTTGCAAACCCTTTTGGCCGACATCTTCGAGGCGGCTGCAGGCCTTTTCATCTGTCGTCCTCGACCACGGCCTCGGCCCCTGCCCCGCTTGGCTGCTTTCTCTGGCAACGAGTCAGGGGTCCTTGGCTGCGACTCATCATCAGCAGCCTTACCAGCTTTGCGAAGAGCTGCTCGTGTTTTCTTTTGTGCCTTCCAGAACCAGAGGGAAGTTGGGTCATACAAAGAGAGGGGTAGAAAGAGACAGGTAAAAGAGATAGAGAGAGAGAGAGAGAGAGAGAGAGAAGTGGCTCGCCCTCAAGCCTGAAGAAAGAAAGAGATACAGTGGAGAGAGAGTGAGAGAGAGAGAGAGAGAGAGAGAGAGAGAGAGAGAGAGAGAGAGAGAGAGAGAGAGAGAGAGAGAGAGAGAGACAGACACCCCCTACACCATGGCCCTGGCGAAAGAAAGACAGACAGAGTGAGTGAGCAAGAGCCTCCTATGGTAATCGAAGAGGGATGAAGGTCATGAAGGTATGAAGGTGCCGACCCTTATTCCGAAGCCTCCAGAATCGTGCGAGGATCATCACCCTGCTCTGCCCGATACTTTGCAGCTGCTTGCCCAAGGGTCTTTTCGGAAAGCTTCGGCACTGGAGCAGGCTCCCCTCCCTCGTCCTGAGAAGGCATGCAGCACCCCCACTTGTTTTAAACATGTGACCGAGCAATTCGAGCACTACAGAAGCGGATCTGGCCTTAAAGGTTCCCTTCTCATCATGGTCGCTGCAATCTTTCTCCTCTTCCTCCCCCTCTTCTTCCTCCTGATCCCCTGTTTTTCCGTCGCAGGAGCCATCTGCGTCCTGGTGCAGCAGCTACGAGCAACACCAGCAGAAGCGAAAGCTTAGGGGACAGGTTCTTCATCTAACTAATGCAATAGAAAAGTATTATGTCTCAACTCAAAGTTTGGGGATTTGGGTAACCGAGGGGTTTAAAGTAGGATTTTGACTTCCGGGGTATGGGCTTTTTATGATTATTTCTTATTTAATATAACACTGGGGTCTTAAGGCTACGAAGACCGGTTCAATTAGCAAGAGTCGCGGAGCCTTCTCATTGTCTTCCTCCTTTGAATCTTGCTCCACTTCAGGGTTCCCCGCTTCTGCCATATCCTAACCAAATGAGCACACAGAAGAAATCACAGAATATCGACATGCATGCGAGTTGCTACGTGGACGAACATATGTAGCAAGTCGCAGCTCCTTCTTTCGCAGCGAAATCACATCCTTCAGCATCGCCATCTTTTCGTGCCCAGCCCTGTGCAAACGAAATCCCGAGATCAGCTTTTATCGGTTGCACCCTAGTGTGGTGAGCCTTGCTCCCTTGTTGCGGTGGGCTCGGTCGCAAGCATACGAAGCCAAGGATCGCTGAGCCGCTGCTTCCTTCTCCATCCAATCCTCAGAAAAGTGCACACAACCCCAAGTCGAAGCAAACAAATTTCGGAGATGGCAGAGGTGCCGACTGCAATCTCATGCTTGTTCATGGCGTCCGGCATAAGCCGATACTGGTCGTTTGCCCAAAACAGACAGGCCTGCACATCAAGTGCTGGCAGATTCAAACAAACAAGCGCATAGAGCAACACGGGGCACTTTTAGACAAATGGCCTCCACCTCACGTTTCGTGGGCAGCCACCCGGCGAAAGTCGCACAGTAATCCATCAGAAATGGAAAGTTGAAGTCACTTATCACCTCAGGCGGCGGATTGGGCAGTTCAATGACCGTGCATACCCCAAGTAAAACCCAAGCCTTCTTTTCATTCATGGCCGGCGATGTGCCGAGGTCCACGAAGTGGAAGAAGTACTTACCCTGCCCACAAACATAAAAGTCTAAAGACCTGCTCACCAGGGCTTATGCAGGCCTCAGGCCTCGTCCAACCCATCCTGCTCCCTCCGCTTCCGGCACCACTTGATGCGGGTCTTCACGAAGTCTGGGGTCAGCAACTCCTTGTACAGGGCCTTGCAGCAAAAGGAGGTCGCGAGGTTCAGTTTTGATTGGATCTGCCAGGCCTTAAGCTGGTGGATGCGATCTTCGTTGGGCTTGCTGTCGGGCATGGCAAAAGGGCGGGAAGGCTTCACTGCTTTGTGGTGTAAGAAACCAATGAAAGAACTGCCACTAGCCTGGGATCCTAAAGAACATCGGACGATGCATTCCGCCCACACTAGAAAGTTTCGAGCTCGCAGCAACTGGGAACATATCGTGTCCGAGCAGAGAGAGAAAGCAAGAAAACTGGGCAGGGGATGCACCATCGCTCTGCCGAGCAAACTTCTGGGCCAGACCTCACTGAATCCAAATTTGCTGCAAGATTTGCCCAGCCGAACGAAGGTTGCGATCAGGCTCGGACGTCTCGCGAAAGAACCTGGGATCTTCATGGCCACGGGACCTCGCAGAAGTGAAATTTCTTTCGGAAACTGATTAAATTCCTTCATCGATGTGCTCGGGGCCCCACCTTGACTGCCAAAATGGCAACACCATCCATCAGGACGTACCGAAGTTTCTAAAGCTTTCACTTGTAATCAGATGTCGGTAGTGCTGGCTACTACCTGAAGTGATGTCGGAACGATTATTCCCAAGACACATTGCCTATCGATCTAATGCTTGGAATGGCTCTTTGATCCGGGCAACTACCTCATTCCTGAAACCACGCAGGATTCGAGTGGTTTGTAAACCCACGCAGGAAACGAGTGCGTGGACGATCAGGGTATATATATATATATATAGACTTGTGTGACGAAGTTATTGCTGGACTTTTTCGTGCAATGCGAGTGTGAGGCGGTTTTGCGCTATGAAGGCTGGACTGTTGGTTCAGGTATGAGCTTCTCGTAAGTCGGGGCCCATTATAATATAAACATAATGGGGAACCCCCAGAATACTATAGGTAATTAATTAAGGCCCCTATAGTATGAGCTTCTCGTAGTTTGGGGGTTGTGGTTTCGGCTTCTGCACCAGACTTCCCTAAACCTTACCTTAACCCTGCACAACCTACCTTTTTAGGGTTCACTGAAATGAATTCTTTATAGACGTCCTTAACAAGGTAGGTTATTTGGGGTTAAGGCAAACTTTTGGGCCTAACCCCTTAGACCCTAAGCCCTCAACATGCTTGCAGTCAGGTCTGGCCTGTCCCTTCCACTTGAAAGCCTGGGTCTGTGATGCGAAATCAGGGTTCACACGCCCTGATTTCTGGTTCAATAAGCATGATGCTATCTTTTATGCTATTTTTTGTGTACACCCTTTCAATTTTGGGCTTCGGTCTAACAACACTTGATACTCTCTTTGTCATAGTTGGGTAACATTTTGCATTTTTATGAGTACTTAAACCGAATAAGGAATAACTGTTACAATTTTTCATCCCATCCCAAACATGAACTAGCTCTGGTGCTCAAGACTGAGACATCCGAATCCAAGGCTACGGCGTGTACAAGGCCGCCAATGGCAACATCGTCTATGAGGTCTGTCCCGCCTGCACTCAGTGTCGCAAGCTCCAGTGCCGCTAATCGAGGGGCCGGATTGAGTAGTACTCGTCTTCTTTAACATTCAATAGCAGAGCTGCGTGCCATATTCCTCCACCAAAGCATATTCTAATTAGTTAGTAGGCCCCTTGAATTAAAAGCCCTAATCCCTAACCCCAAAACCCAAATCCCTAAACCCTATACCCTATGGTAGCGGTTTGAATTAAAGTCGACTGTTGGATTTGCTCATCATTTTGGGGTTTGTGGTTCTGGCTTGGCGGTGTTGGGTTTAAGAAACTTGAGGGTTTAGGGTTAAGGGCTTAGGGGTTTAGGAGTTTAGGGTTAAGGGTTTGGGGGTTAAGGGTTTAGGAGTTTAGGGTTTAGGGGTTTAGGGTTTAGGATGAAGACAGTGGAAAGGGGGTCCGGTGTCTGAGCGCGTAGTACCCAGGGTAATCAAGAGGCTCGCTAACTAGTCCTCTCTATATTGTTGTTTCACTTTTTTTGTTCTCTCTCTCTCTCTCTATGTATATATATATATACGTGATGAATTCAATAAACCAATCTATTTGTCTGTCTGTTTGTCTATCTCTGTTTTGTTTGTCTCCTGTCGGTCTCTCTATCTCTTTATTCATCGCATTACCTGAATCCACCTATCTATCTACCTGTCTGTCGATATCTATCTTATCTGTCTACGTCTACAGACGGAGATAAGTTTTTTTTTTGCAAAATTCTGAGCTCCCTATTGGTGCGTGCGAGCGTGCGCGTGTGTGTGTGTGTGTGTGCATTCTTACCAGCACGGTCTGTACTTTACGAGGTCTGTAAGCAAGTTCCCTCACAATCGGAGGCTCTTTGAATGGGGGCGTTTATATCTCTGCTGAGATATGACGATCATGCTGTTGCCGATGCCAAAGCCATTAGGCTTAGGCTCAGGCATTTCAGTCTCCTGCTGTTTGGCGTAGAGTTCAGGAAACGCCGTTGAATCCCGACACCAGACTCGTCCGTTCATCTTTGATCGAAGTTTAAGCCTAAATCCAGGAACTCAAATTTTGATTCTTGCCTAAACCCAAGAGTCTAGAGTCTATATAAACCCCTAAACCCTAAACCCAGCCCTCAACACTCTTAAACCACCACGCCCACCCAGTTCTGAAGCCTCCTTTCACTTAAGGTTCTTTGCGTCTGGCCAAGTCCTACCTTAATTAACCCCGAAGAACCTACATTTTTGAGGACTTACATAAAGAAATCATAGTAAAGAACCCTAAAGAGCTAGGTTATTCAGGGTTAAGGTTGGCGGTGAAGTCATCAAGTCCTACCGAACGCACCCCCCAAAAAAGCCAGTCAGGGTGCAGGGGTCAGGGTTCGTAGAGTTTTTTGTAGGGTTGCGGGACAATCCTCCTTTCAAAGGGTTCTATACTTTCGTAGCACAGTGAGGGTTACATGTGAGCGGGTGTGTTGGGGCTTTCTGGGCGCACAGGCGCCAAACTGTCGAGGGTTTTGGTCTTGAGGTGGCCTAATATGGGAGTTTCCGAAAACAGGGGACCCTAGTATGGTACCCTAAATAGTAGGATCCTTATTATAAGGACCCCAAAGTAAGGTACCCCTAATTTTCGGAAACCCCCATATCTCCTAAGCCCTTAACCAGAAACTCTGCCATCTCGAATGGGCCCGTCTTCTTGCCCCAGCTGTGGTCTTCTTGCCCCAGCTGCTTGGAACATTTCCGCTTACTCTTGGGCTCGAAGGAGTTTTACATTTGTGGCATCTAACATAAACCCATGAGACAAGATCCACGGAAGACATGGCTTGGGTGGGTTTCCCTTAGGCCTGCCAACGTCCTTAGCCCAATGCCCATAGCCCACGCAGCCCCAGACAGCTCCGCAAGCCCTTATAGCCCCTCATCACCCTCATCGCCCCTAAATCGGAAGCCTCCGTGGTACAAAACCTCTAATATAGGGGCCTGAATAACTACCTATACTATTTTGATGGTTCCTTGTTATGTTTGTGGGCCCCACAAACCCTATTCTAATTATTACTGAGGCCCCTAAATTACTAGCTCCGTAATCTTAGACCCGACTCCTTGAACCCAAGCCGCAACCCCTGAACCGAAACCCTAGGTCCCTAGTCCCTGAACCCTATGCTTAGTTATACACCCTCCTTACCTTTTGAGGGGCCTCACGTAGTGAAGTCTCCTCATGAAGACCCCATCTTTGGGGGGGTCCAGATCACTGCCTGCAGCCGCCCGGCCGTCTTTTGAGGGTTTTCTTTTTTGGGTTCAGGGTTCAGCATTTAGGGTTCTACAGTACATCCTTGTAGCATGCCCTTGAAGCCCATTTACACCAATAAACAAAGTCATTGTTAGTGAGGAGGTACATGTCCGCTAGACGTGCGTTCTGCGTTCTGTGGCCATACTGGAGCAAGCCACCATACGGTACGGGTAATATACTAATAAGTACTTTCGGGGCCTATGTACAGAAATCATCGTAAGGAACCCAAAAAGGTAGGTTTATAAAATTCAGTAAACGTAGACCTTCAGACTCTAAACCCATAAGCCTCTAAGCCCTTAAAGCCCTAACCCTATCCATCAAGCCCTCAAGCCCGAAAGCCTCAACAATTAAAGCCCTAAGCCCTCAATTGCCATAATCCCTAAAACCCCCAAACCCTAAACCCCTAAATCCTAGCTGTACCTGCAGGTGGAAAAGAGCCCGTAACAAAAAGGAAAACTTAAATCCTAAACCCTAAACCCCTAAACCCCTAAACCCTAAACGGGTGGACCTGAACCCGGGGGGTGCTCGAGAGGGCCCTGAAGCCTGTGCAGCCCAGAGACTCCAAAACCCCTTACTTGGAGGATCATGGGACTTAGCATAGGCTTCTCTAGGGTTTAGGGTTCCTTTTAAGGGCAGTATAGGGTTCTATATTGGGGTTTCTTAAGGGGATCTGTAAGGGTTCTAAAATGGGAGGATCATGGGACTTAGTATGTATGGTCATAAGTACTTTAATTGGGGTTATAAGCAAGTATGAGTATAGTTACCGCAATAGTAACCCTAGTTACTAATTCCCATGATCCTTCGAGTATGGACCCCGTAGAGGGATCCTTTGAAGGATCCCTTGAGAGGAACCCTGCAAGGAACCGTAGTTAAGGAATAAACCTGAAATCTTATCGGGGTTCTTAACAGTCTAAGGAATATACCTTAGATCTTATTGGAGTTCCTAATAGCAGTTTAGGAAATATTCCTGAATTAAAGCTGGCTTGGAGTCTCGGGGAGTCCAGTTGCGGGTCCCGTAGATCCCTCCATAAAACCCACATCCTTGCTTGGAGGGGCAGGGGACTCAGTAAGTATGGTTATAAGTAGAGTTGAAAGTACCTAAATGGAGTTACCCCGATTATCATCGTCTTATAACCCTACTTACTAAGTCCCCTGCCCCTCCAAGTGGCCCTCCAGACACAACTCCCACGACTCCTGAAACCGTCGAGGCATTTAGGGTTTAGACATTTGAGAGTTTTCGAAAATTAGGGGTACCTTATTTGGGGTCCTTGTAATGAGGATCCTACTATTTGGGTACTATATTAGGGTCTCCTATTTTCGTAAACCCCCATTTAGCGTTTAGGCATTTGGGGTTTAGTCATTTAGGGTTGGCCATTTACAGCTTCGACCCTTAGGAAGTCTGGGTGTTTTGGGAAGTTGTTTGCAGACCCTTGAAACCAGAGGACCAGAGGCGCCCCTAAACCCTAAACCCTAAACCCTACAAGCCCAGTGATTTCTTCTTGCCCGTGCATGCGTCTCGGAGCCCTCCACCGGCAGCCCAGGCCCGAAACTCTTGAAGTCCAAGCTCTAAACCGAGATACACTAGCACCCGGAGTAGGCCCTAATTTATTTTTTTTAGGGTCTAGGTTCCCTTATAGCCCCCTTTAAACCGAAAAGGGCACCCTTTTTTATTCCTAGGTTACTCTTATAGGTCTAGTCTAGAACCCATATGGAAAGCCTCCTTGACTTGCACAATCCTTCAAAAACCTTCGCCCTGAGACCCGAGGCTCCAAGTTTGTGGGTTTAGAGTTTAGGGTTGTCTAAAGTCTAAAGTCTATAGGGCTGTGTGGCGTCTTAGGTTATAGAACTCTACGGGCTCTGAGTTCTTGTGAGGAGACAGCTGCTCTCAAGAAAAAGCGTGCATCGTCACTTGGTCACAGCGCTTTGGAAGCACTGATACAATTTACTTTTTGGGTTGAGGGTTTCGGGTTGATCCCTTCAGTGTCTCCAAAGGGTCCAGGTTGTTGTGAAACGGGACAAGGGCTTTTGGGCAAATGCATGCACCTGTGGTTCATACCACTGTAGTCGAAACCCTAAACCCTAAACCTTCTGTTAACAAAAAGCCCTAAGCCTTCAAACTTTAAAACCTGCTCGTGATCTAAATCAAACCACAGCCCACCAGAGCGGCTGAGACGTTCATAGACCAATGTTAGACCGAACTGCTCTTCTTTTGCAACGCGCCAAGACGAATGCTGCACCTGAAGCCGGGGTTCTTCCAGCTTGCCGACGGTTTAGGTTTTTGGGTTTAGGGCTTAGCCTACTGCTCCTGGGCCCTCGTAGTGAGATCCCAAACCTTAGCCCTCAAAGCCCAAACCCTCCCCCAGAAAGCCCATGACCCTCTTAGGAGCTTTAGGGTACGTACTAAGTCTCATGATCGTTTCAGCAGACCCTAAATCAACCCCTCTTACTGAGCCCTTATAGATGCCTGTTAAGAAGCCCTTTAAGGAACCCTAGTTACCCACTGCCATATCCCTCTTAGGAGCCTGAGGGTAGGGTCCAGGGTGTTGGGATGAGAACCTTGGGGATCTACAGCTCATACAGGACTCAGGATTCAGGATTGTGGTTTCGTTTAGGGTTTTGGGTTTTGGGGTTTAGGGTTTAGGGTTTAGGGTTTTGGGGTTTGGGGTTTGGGGTTTAGGGTTTAGGGTGTATGTGGTTTCAAGGTGTATGTCGTACTGCTGATGGACAAAATCCTGCATGACC